GGTTTTTCTATACATCTGCATAGATTGATAAAATACGGATGAGAGGAAATATGATTGTAAATCTCAGCTATCGCAAATATTTTTCTTGATCTTATTTGATTTTTTTTAATGATGATCGTAAAGATTCTGCTTTTGTTATTTTTTTTTTGTTTTTGAATTTTTCTTTTATTTGCTTTGTGTGTGAATGTGAACGAACACGAATAAAAAGCATCACTATATGATATAATAAAGTTTTAGCAACTTCTTTGTCTATTTCTGTTTCAGGAAGGTCACATATTTGATAAAAGCAGGACTTGACAAAACAGTTATTTAATAATTGTGAAACCAATACTTTACTGTCAATTTTTCTAAAATTTACGCTAGTATGTATTCTAAATTTTTTTTCACATTCACTAAAAATATTTATTACTAGTGTATTCATTTTCCACAATCCACCTCTATCTCTACTATCTACAAGTTTTTGTTCCTCTTGAGTTTTTGATGAAAGTATAATATCAAGCCATTGTCCAGACATTGCACCATCGTTAATTTTTTTATTTCTCAACTTAGAGTACAGTTTTTGAAATACATAACCTGCAATATATTCTAAGCATCTTATGTCTTTTTCAGAGAGATTTATTTCTAGATTCGAATCTTCACCAATAAGTTTAGATTCTTTTGTAATCAAAAAATTTAGACATAATGTTGTTAATTCTGCTAACAATAAATAATATAGTTCCTTTGGTATTGTTTTTATCGCAACTGACTCAGTTGTATACTTATGGTGGAGTGAACAATAAAATTTTTCGGCATTGCCTTTAAATTCATGCATTTCTTTTAAAAAAAAAGATTCAACTTGTAAATACTCAGATTCAGTGACAACCATGTTTTTAAAACATTCTCGATCTTCATTACAAAAACAATCATCTGTTGACAGTTTATGTCTTGCGTTATTCAATAGATCTTTGAATTGTGTACTTTGAATACATAATTGTATATTTTTATTTAAATCAACTGATTCACTACCGACAACCTCGACAAGGTTGTCAGTAGGCACAAGTTCTTTGTGCTTAGAGTTTATATGCCTTTTCAGACCACTAGTTGTTTTGAATACCTTCGAGCAATCACTACAATTTAAAGTCTCTTTACATTCTTCTAAAGCTGCTATTTCGATTTCTTGATAAAATGAATCGCTTTCAAACTGATCTGTTTCTATCAAACTCAAAAGAACTTGCAACTCTCCACTTTCCATGATTCACTTTAATGTTTGTTTTGCACTTTCAGCGGGCCGAAAGTACAATTTTGACATAAAAGGTCAAAATCAATTGTTACGGCCCGTGTTTCCAGACTATCTATTCTTGTGACTATGGTCCAATCTAGATCGTCCATAAATTACGTAACGCAAAGTTTCACAAAAAACAAAACAAAAAAGTATCAAAAGTTTTCCCTCGCGGAGTCTTAATTTAAATAAACAATCAAAATAGGAAATTAAGTTATATGAAAATCGCCGCGTAAAAAAGCCTAATATCTCCTACTCCTGTTCTAAAAATATTTTTTGCGTTGCGTAATTTATGGACGATCCCTTATAGTTGTTGTTGTTTTAAAAGATTTTAACAACATTTATGCAATAACAGCGAGTTTATTTAATTATTTAAATAAAAAAATTATATTAACTTAAATTTAAGAGCCGATTGAAAAATATAGGAACCATTTCTCGAGAATAGAAAAGAAATGTCATACATCAAAACGAATTTTTAAAATGCTTTTGCATATGCTGTATAAAAAAATATTAATGATTTAAGATGCATTAAAACCAAATGCAATAAACCAGGTCCAAAGCAAGAAATAAATCATGAAAATCTTATAAAGTGATTTTTTGGGGAAAACTACTCTGTTGAAAACCCTGATCTGCCTAATATATTATGTTCTTATTGCAGAAAAAATAGAGTTTAAAAAAAAAACAGATTCAAAAACGATTTTTATTCAACGCTTGACCTAAGTACAAAAGCAAGTAAAAGTAAGCCAATAAAAACTAATTATAAAAAAAATATGCCAATAAAAACTAATAATGTTTTGCATTATTATTGTTGTGCTTATAAATAATATTGTATTTACACTAAAAAAATAACTTCTTATTACTTTTAGATCTTAATATTAAAATTGTTCTAGGTGGGAAATGTGAGTGTTTTATTTGTGTTAATGAGCGTAAAAATGGTACTGAAATAGCAGTTCTTCCACCAATGGTATGGTGTGAAACTAGTAAAGATATAGATCATAATCACTAATTTGAATCAATCAAAATCTTGTTTTTTGCAGAAGTCGTTTTCAACAAATAAGAAAAGGTATTAAACATCATTGCACAAAGTTAGCTAAAAAAAGTAATCTGACGCATTGTACAATCCACCTCACCCATAACAAAAAAAAAAAGTTTTATCAACTACAATTAACAATTTAGTAATCCATGACGCAAAAATAACTTTAAACAATTTTGGCCCTAAGAAGCTTGATGTTTCTATTGGAGTAGTTAACCAAAAACAACTTTTCACACTCAAAACTGAAACAACTACAGAGCAAATTTCATACAGGGTATAGATTGTTTACTACAAAATTAAAAAAATATAAATTATTTTAATTTTTTTTAACATTTGTATCAAATTTACTAGTTGCCCGATTTATTTGAGTGAAAAGAAAAAAAAATCTGTCAAATCTTGTTTTTATAAAAAGTTAACAGAAGTAAACAAAAATCTATTGTATTTGTTTGATACTGAGCTTATTCTGAGATTCAGTCTAAACAGGATACCGGTGATGATAAAAAAGTGGTGTTACTAAATATATATATATGTATACATCAAGTGCTTTATTTTAACTAGCTTCATTAAAGAGCTCTATAAAAGTAATATGTTATAACAAAAATATTATTTTATGCTACATTCCTGAGTAGGAAGCAATATTGGCGCAATATTGTGTACACATTTTACATGCTAAAAACAATATTGCGCCAATATTATTTGTTACTAGGGTTATAATTTTATATTTTAATTAATTTGAAAGTTGATACTTTAAAATAAATCATTATCATCGGACTTAAAGTTGTTTTGTTATTATTTAGTGTATTGAAAGAACTATTCCTGGTGTAATAAGCGATAATGTTGATAAGTTTGTTGCAACAGTTTTACAACATAGATCTCTTGAACCAGAGAACGTTGATGTTAAGATTGGAGTTGATGGAGGGCAAGGCTATCTAAAGATTACCTCATCAATTGCATTAAAGCCAGAGCTAGAAACACATTCAAGTGAAAAAAAAGAGTGAAATAATCTGATGAGTATGGGTATGAAGATTTCAAGTACACTAGTGTTCACAAAACTTTAGTTTTGGCGGTATTACCCTCTGTTGATGAAAAAAGATAGCAAACTTTTAAAAACTGATAAATTAGCCAATGTTCTAATTAGAAAGCCCAAATTGTTATTTCTATATAGTTTTAGAAGTTATTTCTAAATACGATCCTCAAAGAGTCAATCCAATAGGTTAAACAACCAAACATATTATATACAACTATTTGATCCACTCGCAAGGGTCTTAGGGTGAGTTAGAGGGGCACTAACCTCTGGTTAAAACAAGTCTTATAAATTAGTTTTCTCAAAAAGCTACCAAAAAATAATTTAACTTTTGATAGTTTTGGAATGTGCACATGGACTACTTTCAAAATCAAAAGAAAAATTTTATGTGATATGATATAAGGTCTTAGGTCACCTCAGGGTACCCGTGATATATGTTTCTATACGGTATATCAAAATATATACAGAACATAAACTATTTTATTCGCAAAAATAAAAAGTATTAAATCAACATTTTTAAACATTCTAAATACTGTCGTTTGTTTTAACCTGATTATAAAAATCTTTATAATTTGTGGGGTTGTATTTTTTCAATGCTATTGAGTCAATAGTATTGACAAAATACAACGTTAGGGTTTAAAAATCTTATGACAGTAAAAACAGTGGTATCACTGGGGTGGTGCGGGCCGCATCGGGTGACACCACCCGAGTTTTTTTTTTTTAAAATCTCTAGATATAGAGGACTTTTTATGTTTCACCATTTACCTGTTAGTCTAGAGGGGTGACACCAAAAGATAACCGCTCTGGGTGACACCAACGTCAGCAACATCACTGAGTAAAAGTTTAGATTTTATTATTAGTTAAAAATGTATTAGTAAAAATTTCATACTACAACAGAATTTATATAGATAAAAAAATATCCATTTAATATTATTTGGCTTGACTAAAGCGCGTTTTTCATTTTCAATAACCTTGCAAAAAATTTTGCTTTTTAAAAACAAGTTTAATTTAATATTGGAAAAATTGAACAAAAGCTTGCAAAAAAAATATTTTTTCACTATATCTAATGGTTAAAGTTAAGAATTTAATGTTATGGTCGTATAATTTTAGCAAAAAGTTTTAACGTGATGAATGAGAACAAAATATCAAATTTTGATCATAAACTAAAAATTTAATCATTTTTTTATAAACATTTTTTTTCAGAATGATTTTTTCGCTTAAGACATAAAAATGAATTTTCCAAATTATAACATTCGTTTTCAAATAAAAAACTATTGTTTTATTCAAAAAAAATTTATCAATAAACAACGACTCCGACAAAATTTGTTATTTTAATTAAATAGTCAAAAATTTTTCAATAAATTATATAAAATGAAACTTTATATACAAAATGAAACTTTAATGTCAAAATTAACATTTGTTTCTAATTAAATATATAATGCTCGCTAACTAAAAAACAAACGTGAAATTATTTTTAATAACTTCCGACGGCGGGAGACAAATTCTCCAACTTGGCTGCTGCAGCCAGCTGGAAGGCAGAAGCCACTGGAGGCAGCCTCCAAATCATTTTGCCTCCGAAATTTTATTTGGAGGCGGCCGCCAACGGCTTCCGCTTGCATATCGGCGTCGGTCTCCAAAACATTTTTTCGTTTATCAACACTAATCGAAACAATATTAATCATAACTTACTTGATAAAAATATTATTGTTTAATTACAAAATAATTTAATATAAAGTAAGTTTTTAAAACATTCTAATCAAATAATATCTATGTTAACATGTCGGTATTCGGGTTCTAGTATAAAGAAAAGATTAATGCAGAGCTCTTTTATCCATTTCATTTAAACCACACCATGTTACTTATTTCATTCGGTAACACGATTTCAAGCACTAAAGTTAAATAAAAAAATAAATAATTTAAACAGTTTTTTATTAAATTTGATAAATTACTTATTTCACACATTTATTTCAACTTTGTAAATTTAGTAATAAAAGTTTAAAAATGGCGGCTTAAAAAACTTATTAGTACCTCACATTCGACTGGATAGATTTTGCAAACAGAAGTTTTCTTGCTCAACATGACCTTTAGTCTTTGCATACACTAAATTAAATGAGTTAAATTAGGAATCGTCTACAAAAATGTTTGAGAAGTTGTTTGTTCAAAGTATTATTTATTCAAAACTTAAAAGTTCACTAAAAATATTATTATCTGTAGAAATTATAGTTATGCAAAGTGTGCACCCTCCCCCCCTGTTTTGAGGGTGTTCTAAGGTTATAGTTAGTAAATTTAATTTCGTCAATATGCACACATTTTACAATGTTATCCTTAAGATCTAATAGATATATATAATTACAATATGACCGGAGCAAGTAAAAGACAAAATGTCTTATCAACAAGCCCCTTCGTGAAATAGAGAAAAGTATAGTTTTACAACATCTAATATTATACAAAAAGTGAAACTAAAAAGTTTGAAAAAGAAAAAAAAAAATTAGAAAGTTTGAAAAAATTTATAAAGTTTGCAAAAAAAAATATCTTTTATAAAAAATATTTACAAATCAGTACATATACATATCGAAATATAACGTAAATTTAATTTTTTTTTTTTTTTAAGTGCTCTAAGAAGACCTAACGGTCTTGTCACAGAGCACCGCGGATGTGCATTTAACAGGAAGTTTCCTTACCGTGACGCGAAAATTTGTCCAAGCTTGTATAGAACCTGGATCTCCTGTTTATAAAGCAAGCACCACGGCCGCAAAATATAATTATAAAAATAACGTATTGTATAACATAAATATAAAAATTTACAAATCGGTACAAATTCATATACAGTATCGGACAAAATAAGTGCAACCAAATAATGCTATTTTAGTTTCTTTTTATAAAAGTGCTGCATTTTTTCAATTTAGAGAAATAACTATGTAACTGTTTAGTGGCAACGTTCTTCAAGTTTTATTCATCACAAAGTTCATTATTTGTACACGAAAATTAATAAATTAATCAAAAGTATAAAAAAAATTGATTTCCTTCTGAAAAAAACAAGTGCAACTCCACAAAATGTTAACCAAGCTGTGTTTTGCTATCAATATTTCGTGGTGAATCCTTTGTTGTTGATCACAGCCTTGCATCTTCGAAGCATAGATTCGATCAGGTGATTAATAAAACTTTGTGGAATCGCTGCCCAGGCCTTTTGAATTTATTCAACCAGTTGAACCTTAATACGAACACCTTCACGATTAATTCTGCGATTGACGATCTCCCACAAGTTCTCGATAGGGTTGAGATCCGGAGATTGATGCGGCCAATCAATCACCGATAGGGTGTTGACTACTTTTGCAGTGTGTTTTGGATTGTTGTCTTGCTAAAAAACCCATTTTATTGGCATATTGCATTCAGCATGAGGTAACATTACATCTTTCAGGATACTTTTATACATGAAACGTTCCATTATTACATCGATTCAATGTATTGGACCTAGATCGTTAGCAGAAAAACATCCCCAGACCATTAAATTGCCTCCACTATGTTTCACAGTTTATGGCAGTAACGTAAATTGAGGCGTTTTCCGGCCGGCTGACGTACACGGCAAATGCCATCGCTCCCAATGATTTTGAACTTCAATTCATCACTGAACAGGATAATTTGCCCTTTCTGCACATTCCAGTGAATATGAGATGTAGCAAACAGGAGTCTTTTCTTCTGGTTCTTTAGTGAAATCAGCGGCTTTTTTGCAGGGTGTCGAGAAATCAATCCAACTTCAACAGCACGTCGTCTGATTGTTCGGTCCAATACAGACAGTTCTAATTGCTTTTGTATATCAACTAAAGATATCCAGGGATCCTTCTTGACGGATCTGACAATCATAGAATCCTCTCCAGAAGTGGTGGAGCGCGGTCTTCCACCTTTTTTATGTGCTGCCAACTTAGAACATAGTCTTGATACGGTCCATTTTTTTACGAGATATTTATCACAAATACTTTTTTTGTGACATTCCACTTACGTAATCGCCAATAATTTTTTTTCTTAGTTCCAATCCAAGACTGTCGGAAGCCGATTTTGCACTTGAAGTCATAAAAATAATAAAAATAAATAATCACGCTTCTCCCCAGTGGGCACCGGACCAAAAAAAGACGTCTTTTGAACGTTCGAAAGACGTCCAAAACGTTCAAAAGACGTTCAAAAGACGTCCAAAACGTGTATAAGACGTTTAAAAGACGTCTTTTTTACGTCTGTGTCCACAGGGTCAAGGCTTACCGTGTTATATTTACCTTGTGATGATACAATAATGCTCTGTGGAACACAACGTTTGGATACTTCCTTTAATTATTAAAAAACTTCCGTGACGTTGACACGTACCAGACTTAAGAAAATAAAACAAACCAAAAAAGTTGCACTTGTTTTGTCCGCTGCAAAACGGCACTTGTCAACAAAATTCTGCCTGTGTACTGTCGCCTGTCAGCTGATTGCTCATGTCATGGCATGCTATGACTCTAGACTCCTGAACTGTTTGCTGTGGTAGTATAGTTATTTTCGTTTTTAAGACATGTAAAATTAGGAACACTTTTTAGCATTGTTCGATGTTGGTTGTAAATGTTTTGTCCGATACTGTACATACGCAATACGATACATAATATATGTTTATATTTAAATATTAAAAAGAGATTTAGATTTTAAGAAGATTCAAAATAACAAGATACTATATATATATATATATATATATATATATATATATATATATATATATATATATATATATATATATATATATATATATATATATATATATATATATATATATATATATATATATATATATATATATATATATATATATATAACAGTATATTATATATTATATACATATATATATATGTATATATATATGTATATAATATATAATATACTGTTGGTTTAGATGAGCAGTCTGACGTCACATTGAAATAGCCTGCTGTCGGGGGCTTTAGCACGTTCATTGACTGAAAAATAGCCTGACTCGCAGCGGAGTACTGCTACATAGATAAGTTCATAATCAATAATATTGATTCAACAAAAAGAAATTTAAAAAAATTTGTATCAAAAATAATAAAAATTCAAATTCGAAGAATATTATTTTTTTTTTCCCTTTCTCTCTTATTTAAGAAAAAGAATAAATTTAAATAATCCTTATTAAAACCTATAAATGCTGTAAATCTTTATTATTACTTTTTTATAGTATAATTGACTATAATGTGTATAATTAAAGATTTTAGACCTTTCCAGACAAATAAAGTATACATTAGTAGATAATTTTCAAATATAATAATTTTATAGATAAAAAATATATAGTTTTAAAAATAATTATCAGTCTATTTATTATTTAAAAGCAATAGTTTTAGATTTTGTTTAAACTGTTCAAGAGTTCTAAGTGTTTTAATATCATTACTAATTAACTTATTCCATACATTAGATCCACTAATAGTTATTGAGAACTTGGTGGATTTATATATAGTTTTGGGTAGAAAAAAGTTGTTACTTGAATATTTAGTCACGTATTTGTGTTGAATTTTATTAAATAATGGTTTGAAGATATTTGGTATTGTATTATTATTAACTTAATTCATAAAAACTCGAAGATGATATATATTTATCTGGTACAAATTTAATATCTTTAGATTGTTAAACAATGGTCTGGAACGCGAGAGGCGTGTGGACTTGATAATAATCGAATTGCATGTTTTTGTTTGCTAAATAGCTTTTTTTTGTCTTTGTTTTATTGGTGCTGCATATATGAGTAATATATGTATTTCAAACATGATCTAAGTATGGTTTTGTTTTAAAGAGTAATCCGATATTTTTAGATGTGTTATTTTCAATCATGTTTATGTGGTCCCATTAATGTTTTCATCTAGACTTACATCTAAAAATTACACCGAACATTCTCTTTTTACGATCCATTCTCCAATAATAAGTTTTGGAAATGCAAGAGCGATTTTATCTTTTTTAAGGAGGCGATGAAAAATAGTATACTTAGTTTTAGTTAAATTAATTGAAAGTTTATTCATATTTAACCATTCAGTTAGTTTTAGAAGTTTAATGTTGACCGTTTTAAATAAAATTGTTATATCACTATGAGAATAAAATAAATTTAAGTATCAGCGAATTTAGTAAGTGTTTTTTTATAGTTCTTTTAAAAATATCAATAGATTTTATTTTTTTTATATTTTTGTCAAGAACCGAGATTTGCAAGCGTGGTCCCCAACATGTAATTGAGAAGTCAGATTTTAGTGATGTTAATGGAATGTAGTAATTACTTATTGAGTGTCTTGTTTCATACTTATGATTAATTAGATAGAAATTTTTAGAAAAATATTTTGGAATTATTTCATTTTGAAGTTTAAACGTAAGTAACAAGTTATGGTAGATATTTAGTTCGTATACGTTTAGAGCATTTATTTCCTCAAGTAACGGGTCGGAACATCTATCCTATCTGTGTCCAAAACAAATTGACTTGCTTATTTTTATTTTGTATAAATATTTTTTAGGAAAAACGATTGATTGTTTGCCCAGGTAATATTACAATAGTTTATATGACTATGTATAAATAAATAGTATAACTTTTTTAAACATCTTTAAAACTTTATTCTCGACTAACTTTATTTGGTTTTTCCAATTTTAAATGTTCATTCAAGTATTTTCATTGAAAAAACTCTTTTTATTTTAATATTGTTAATTGTTAATTCTGGTAGTTGAGGTGAAAAGTTTTCAGATTTAGATGGTTTAGCAAACAAAACATATTTTGTTTTATCAGTAATCAATAAAGGTTTATTTTCTATAAACCACTCATTAAGATATATTAGTTCTGTGTTTACATAATGAAAAATATTTTTTAAATTTGAGTCTGAAAAGACAACATTATTGTCATTACCAAAAATATATATATATATATATATTTTTGGTAATGACATTTTTATACCGAATTTTTTCTCTTTTAAAAGTGGCGTGTTTGTACCCGAGAACTATATTAATTTTTAATGTTTATTTTTTTTATGAGAAGAAACATCTGTTGTTTACATCATGCAAAAAAAAATTTAAATTAATTTATTATTTAGGAACGTGTTATTTAA